CTCTTACATAATTAAAATTAAGTAGTACTTGCCTGTTGTGAGTAATTCTTTATTTAAACATACTGTATCACCGTGAGAACCTCGGCCCGTTATGCTATCTTATCGGAGATAGCTCAGTATGGCCTTTGTGTGAGATACCGATGCCCACTTGATGACTTAATTGGCTGACTCGGGTTTTATGGCAGTTAAAATGGCCGGCCTTCTGTTAGCGACAATTTCGGGTATCTTTGTCTTATATTTTTTTTTAAGTGTGGCAACACAAATGGGTTAGACGTCACCCATTTATGTCAAAGTATCTTAAAATCGGGAGACAAGGTACCTATGTTGTAGACGGATTATCACTTAAGCCCGTCGTATATTCCTAAACAAATAAAATATATAAGAAAATAATTATTTAATAATGATTTAAATAAAAAAATGTTGATATTTTCTTACAAAATTAACGATCATTTGTGACAAAAATCACGACAACATAACAAGTATTACGTTGAAATAATAGGGTGGAAGTAAATTACCCATAATTGTAAAGACTAGGTCACGTTTTGTAATATTCATATAAAATATTTCTTTTCAAAACGTGATTATTCCTTTCAATACGAGAGTAATTTAAAAAATAATCTTACTCGAAGTATTTATTCATCAGCATGGGGAAATCGCAGCAGGATCCGACCTTCAACCTTGCTTCATTACCGTCGTCTAGACTGAACGATATCCTACCGAAAGCTTTCGATATCAATGCATACCAACAATAGTTCAATTACATTGCCGTTTTCATTCCGAATCGATCCATACTCTTCAGAAGCGAAAGGGTAATGTATTGTAACAAATCCAATTCGTTCTTGCTATCCAGGAAGTTTTTTAGTAAGTGTTACAAGTAGAGAGTACCCCAGGGTGAGGTATTAGAACCTTTGCTCAAAGGTGACCCCTTTGAAGGACGCCCTTTATGATGTAAACTCTTTATTACGCAGTAGACTAGATAATCCTATTATTTTAATTGATTTTGTTAAAAAAAATATATTCAAAGCAATTTTTTTTTTCAAAGAACTCGATGTCATTAGTAAGCATATATTTGTAAATTTTCCGGTCTTTTAAAGAACCGGTACGAACTTGAGATTTTGACTATCGGATAGACTACTGCTGTGGGTGAGCTCACATGGGTTGGCCGTACCGCAGTTATACCATGGCCTCATAGGAAATCGATGTTATGCTATTTTATCCTTGCTGGTGTTCATAGGTAGCGGTAGTCACTTAAAATCAGGTAACCCATCTGGTAGTTTGCCCATAAAAAATATTTTCAAGTAGTATTTGATCTAAAATCTTGTTTGTTTTTTTCATAACTAATACCGCAGGTGATTTCAGCAATATTTAATGGTATTAATTTCAGATGTACAGCAGTGGATGTGTTTCGATACGTCCACATCTGGACATCCACGTCTTTCGGCTGTGATGATGATGTTGATGTATTTATTTGCAATGGTTCGGATGTTGCTATGTATACAATGTGTGTTAATATCTGTATTCTAGAACCCAAGGTATTACGTCTAGATAGATAATGACATACATAGATATAATTTTTAGGGTTCCGTACCCAAAGGGTAAAACGGGACCCTATTACTGTCTTCGCAGTCCGCCCGTCCGTCTGTCTGTCTATCTGTCTGTCCGTCTGTCACCAGGCTGTATCTCATGAACCGTGATAGTTAGACAGTTGAAATTTTCACAGATAATGTATTTCTGTTGCCGCCATAACAACAAATACTAAAAACAGAATAAAATAAATATTTAAGTGGGGCTCCCATACAACAGACATGATTTTTTTTAGCCGTTTTTCTTAGATAATGGTACGGAACCCTTCGTGCGCAAGTCCAACTCGCACTTGGCCGGTTTTTGTTTTTAAAATTAAAAGGTTACTAGAACAGTAAACGCAAAAAAAAGAAATGGTCAAACACAGATCATGACTATATAGTAAGAGGATTTAAATATATCTTATATTATACTCGTATATCTTAATTAATGTATTTATCCGACTTATTAACAAGACAGTAGGATTTAGGAGATTTAGGGCGAGACTCTCTGGCAGTTTGATTAGCATATTTTACGATATCCATAAGAATATCAACGACACGTCTAATTCGAGGACTAAATATTCATTGCGTTAACAATCGCGACAAAAAATGGAGACCCAGATGACAGCAGACACGTAGACAGAACATGTCGCATAGAACAGTTAAAGTAACAATATTAGATGAACTATAAGGGTAAGGTTTTTTTTTCAATGAATATTCTATTCCGTGATTATCATAATCGAAAGACAAGCTGCGAACGAGAGCAGGCGTGTCACACTTGTAAAGAAACTAATAAAAATGCAGACATCACTTCGGGAATTGATAAAAAGTTGACAGGCTTGAGTTTGATTTCGGGGTTCGAGTTCCGTACATGATTTTAGTTTTACTAATGAAAATCAACATATGAACTACCGTTTTGTAAAAATTATATCGGAGTTTCCGTTATCATTTAATTTTTTATTTGAACTATAGGAGTACCTACGAACCTAACCTGCTGGAGTTATTGATCCCCTTAATAAATCCGTTTGAGCAATTTCCCTGTCCTACCATAGCCTTTTATTTTGATGTAGATTTCTTTTCATTATATTTAGAACTAGACTTCGTTCGCGTGGTACTTGAGAATAAATTTTATAGGGTTTTCTGGGAGAAAAAATTGCGACTCCTTATATACACAGCTACCTGGTAGTAAAATATTAACAAAATCGGTCCAGCCATTTTAAAGATTACCTGGCACAAACAGACAGACACACAACAAATAACCATGTGAGCATAAAAATAACCTATTATTTTGAGATTACAAACAGACACTTCAATTTTATTTATTTATCATATTTATATATAGTATATTTATTATAAGGTAGTTTATGAAACTTCTGACACAAACACTTTTAGTCTTTACGTAACCCTAAAAGTTCGAAGCATTAAAAAATATGTAAATTCATTACAAAAATTGAATATACTAAGAACAAAAAAATGTCTCGTGCCGATGTGTTATCTAAATAGATTGTATAATGTACATATGTAGTCACAATTATCATCGCTTTTTGTCAACTACCCTCTGATACAACCGACACAGTGTAATAGATTCTTTATTGCTTTTTAATCGGTTTTAATATTTTTTGTCGATATGTTATTTATTTTGTGGCAAAAGAAACTTAAAAAAATGGTTGAGTGTGGCTAGCACTTATATAAATTCGTTGTTAATTAAATGATTTTAGACTTTAAAAATTAGACTGCAGGAATAAGAAGGTATCGAAAATAGCTAATTGAAAAGAAAAACAAAGATTTAAATGTGTTAAAACTGGAATATTTAGTCTTTCTCGAAAAAGTTCTTTAGTAGGAACCCAAAACGTAGTGGGGCAAGCAAGCTAAGCTTCGGAAATTGGAGTGTAGCTACTACTAAAGTGGAAAAAGATCCAGTAATATTGGACTAAACGGCATTTAATAACGGTAATTGTTATAAAGGACGGTAAATTTTACCTATTTTCTTATATTTTTATTAGTTAAAATGAAATCGTCGTGGCTAAAAGTAAACTCCATTACTCGAACCCGTGTCTCGTGAAAACTTATAAAAATTTGACATTTATACTTTATTTAGACATATTTTTTATCCCAAAATCTTGGCAGAATACCCAATTCAAGATGGCTTCGCTGTCTTTTTTTTCCGTTCAAGCACTAAGTTTCTTCATCAGTTTTAAAACTTTTAATTTTATCAATGTAAATCTTGATTTTGATAAACCATAATACATTTTGCATGCCTTACGCTAGAATCACTTGAAACGTACAATTAATAACATAATTATAACAGTGTTTTCTGCAAAAATAAATAATTTTAATTTGTTTTTTTTCTAACAGACTTGACAACATAGATAATACATAGCTATGCGATAAAATTAGTAGGATATATCTTAAAGTGGCTTCAAGAGTGAACCTAAGCAATTCGGTCATTGCTTTAACCGAGTGAGTGTCTACCGGAGTCCGAACCGGAGTTGCAAACCCAACCGGATAGGCAACCTGTGTTTGCAACACCCTGATTTCAAGGGTGGGATTGAGTTGCAGGTGTCAATTGGCGGCGGAAGTCATTTAGCATTTGGTGACCCGTCTGTTCGTTTGCCATAAAACTATCTCTAACAACCAACAAACGGAATTAGATAATTCACTCTCACTCACTTTGGTCATTGTTTCGTTTCGAACACAATCCGATTGTTTGCAGTAAAATATTCATTTAATAATTTGATGCTAATAAAAACAGGTTTTTAGAACTTCAACCTGCCATCATCAGCGGAATCGCGGCAAATGAACCTTGGCAGAAAATAATTTGGTCCCTTTTGGGTGGTCTTGTATACATCGAGGCCACACACCTTAAGTTACATCGATCTGTTACTTGAAATTGAATTTTTATTAATTTGCATTGAAATCGCTTTATTTCAAACTTTAAATTCACAACTTTATTGTCGATTCCTCACAATATTTCGTGTTTTAGTGTTACCTGTTGAGTTTTATTTTTATGATTTTAAATTTGTATTGGACTATCTTACGATTAAGGATTCGCTCGCTTATCTGGTTGTAACACAGTAATAGAGATTAAGAATAATATTAACTTTTCGCGAAAACACTTTATTCTACAGAAGATTCTGGATTGTTCGATTCTCTAGCCAGTAGATACACCATATTGGTTGTGTGCTTGTATTAATTTAACTATTGAATATTTTTCTATGGAATTAGCATTTTGCATGGATTTTTAATTTTATTCGCAACCCGGGAATTTTTTTTTTTGTTAAATTGATTTGTGGCGGTACCCATTACTTTCCAGTCTCAAAAAAGTGAAAAAAAAATTAAGATAAATGTTTCTTTTTGGTTTCACTCAGTGTCAAATGTCAAGTATCAAAATATAAAATGTCATTATTAGGCCGTTGCAAATTTTCTGTATCATGAGTAATGGATTCTGAGAAAGATGTGCCTTTAAGGAAATATGGAAACATCGAGTACCGGTGCAGTCCTGAAGCTAGTCGTATAACTACTAATAAGGTGAATCCATTTGATACTGTTGGAAACTACCACGAGAGACGTTTGAAAGACAAACTACAGAAAAAGAACAATGGTCAAATTGTAAATATATATGATCACGCAGATGCATCCCCACTCAATGCAAGTGTAACATCAAGTAATATTAAAAGCGCACAAGAAATTAGACAGGAACTTATTGAAGATGTTTTCACAAATCATCCATATACAGGGGAACCGATCGCTGCTAGTTACAAACGATCAGATAAAAGCATATCGCAGCCTGCTTTTAATCTACCAAATAAGTACTCAGGAAATCTTCCTGCTGCTGTGCGAAACATGCCCAAAAGTTCCAGTTTTAGACATGTTGGGTACAACAACTATGATCAAAATAACAAACACGAATCTTTTACAAGAAATATCATCAACAAACACAGTGTAATAGATGAAAATACATACCCTCAAAATGTTACAAATATCAGTCCGCCACAGAACATGTATAATGAAGAGTACGTTATAAAAACTATGCAACGACACGCGAGATTGCAGAAAATTGTGAGAAAACTAGTCGTAGAACGTCAGAAGGAAAAACAGAGAGAAGCGTGGAATAACTACATTAATGAATTAAAAAATAAACATATGTACTATAGCAACGAACCGACTAGAATCGCTCCACAATATGTACCGAATGAGGATGAGTTTACTGAAGACTTCTGGAATACGAGGTACGGCTATCCACAGAATGATCAACGTCAAAGTATATTGAATAGTCTTTACGGAGGATATAGAAGTGACTATCGAGATAAATATGGTACCAGATATGATACTGTACCCAGTCAGCGTCCTACACATTATTATGAAAGTAATCCCTACTGCTATCCTACGGCCTCACAAGGTCGTCTCATGATGTTAAACAGAGAAAAACAGCGTTTCAATTCAATGCCACGACCATTAAATAAATATAAATCTGTTGTAGTCGACCGAGACTTAAATAGACGATGGTATGATAATAATAAAATGAAATATAACCGAACATTTCCAAATATACAAACAGATATGAAATATTTGAACACACAAGGGGTTCTTACCGAAGAGACAAATAAAGAGTATAATACGAGAGATGCCTTCAGAAAATTGTTTAAGAAACAGGAGTTTAAAATGGCGACTTTGAAAGAAAAAATACTTCAGACAGACAATCCAATGGATAAGCCGTTGGAGAACATCGAGCAAAAGCTGGACATTTTGATAAACTCAGTTAACTCGGTGATTGTAGAAATAAAAGAGCAGAAAGATCTAAATAAAATCAAATGTCCTGTTACTAAATCGCGTTCCATATCTTGTACCTTGAAGAAACTTTCAGATTTGGCTTTGAATAAAACTAAAAGTGAATCGTATGTATTTCAAAATGATAATGACATTTTATATACAACAGTTTTACAGAATAACACTAGAAATGTAGTACTTACTGAAATTGGTACCAGTACACCCCACTTCGAACAAGTCAACGATAACAAAATAGCGAGAATAATAGAAGAGGAGATGGAGAAAAGCGAGAAAATAAGGAAAGACATTGAAGAGCTACTTCACACGAAGTGTAATAGGCAGTGCTCTGTGGAAGTAGAGTTTGATGTTCCAACGAGGGAGGTGTCCACGTTTGCTGCAAATTCTCTGCCCCAAGCACAATACTGTGTCGAACCAGAAAGAAAGATAAATTTTATAAGAACCCAGGTCCAAGGAAACAGTAAGCAAATGACGATAGCTGTAAACACGGATCCTCTGGGCTTGTGTGCATTGATGCAGGTGTCGGCTGAGACTATCAAGCAGTTGCTTTCATATATGCTGAACATGAACTATGAGTCGTACATGCCTGATGGCCAACAGCGGAGGCGACCATGCAGAACTTCGCATTTTATATGTAATATTTGCGGAGAAACGTTTGCCAGAGCGTCACAGCTCAGCGATCATGTTGAAAGCCACTATTTGGGAAGGAGGAGGTAGGTTCATTGTATTTGAATATTTTTAAACTATTCCACATGATCACTGACTCTGTGAAGCGGATGTCATTTTGTAATATTAAAAAATATAAAATGATTCAGTAGTTTCACGGCTTTCATAGTCAAAGGTAATTGATCAAAATTATCTGCTGCGCTGGCAATCATTTTCATTTAAAACATTACCAATTTTCCAGGAATTGTTGTGTCTGTCGCCACGTCCTGAACATGAGAAAAGATCGCATCGGTTTGTTTAGCTGTAAATATTGTGGGCAAAAGTTCACCAGGGCCTACTGCTGCGAGCTACACCAACAAGCTTGTGCTAAACTATTCGGAAGAAAACACGATGTACAGTCTAATTTGATGCTTCTGAGATAGAAATCAAAATTCTCTACAAAGACTATTGAGTCAGATACTAAACAGAATATGTGAATTGTTTTTTGATATTTAAGATTATAAGAACACAGATGTTCTCGTTTGCCAAAAGTTTACAATGTTCGGAATATAAGGTTGAAATTGTAATAAAAGTCAAAACGCTATGCAACATAGCATACATTTGTTTGTCCAATCTCAATAATTAATATAATACTTTATAAGCTGCGTTTTTTTTTGACAGAATCAGCCAACAGATATTTTTTTTTGCTGGACAGTGTGCCGGCAACGGTATGGGTGGACAAAATCTTTCCCTTTTTTCTATAATTGGACGTAGGGGTATGTGAGCGCTGTCAATGGGCCTTTTGTGTGTGCCGCAGTGCATCCATCATGCTTGTTTGTACCTCGACTTAGGGACACCCATTATAGTGAAATGGGCATAAAATTCCGTCGATACATCACAATAGTGGAAAGCTACATTATATGTAATTATGTCAGGTTTGAGGTGAAGCGTGATAATGATATTACAGTTGGCTACCAATCGTTCTCCTATTGTGGCACAGCCAATGAGTAAGGACTATCAACAATGACAATAAACTTTGCAGTGTGATAGTAAATTTAATGGTATTATAATACCATTAATTTTAATAAAAAATACAGTATTTGATCCCAATTGTATAAAAATAAACAATAAAATTAGAATAGCAGGCAATTCGTGCTTTCCTGTTCGAGAAACCTTTCTGACCGGTATACAATACCTAGATGTCAGACAACAAAAGCTTTCGTGACAATTATCTGCTCATTTTTTTTTTTTAATATTTCGGCAAGCACTGTTGTCCCACAGACTGAGGTGTCAATTCAATAATAAGGTGCAAATACAATGAGTTTTTGTGTGGCTCGGTGCACGCCGGCCCACCAGGGTGTCTAAAGCCCACTAATTTATATACCGTTAAAGATTTGCCACGGCTTCGTAAGATCATGTCTGTCTATTTGTTTAGGTGAAACTGTAAGTATTGTTGCGAGTGGACGTGGGAAGGAAGTTGCAATAAAAAATATTCTAAGGTGAATTGATTTCTTTGAAACCGCGCGGTTTCTCTTTACTGCCAATATTTTGTGTTAACTGACGTTGATTGGGTCTTGTTTATCGTTGCTCTGTGGAGAATATTACCTAACCGTAATATTTACTAACTGAAATAAATATGCTCACAAGTTTGTTTTTAGAACCACTAGTGCAAAAATTTTTTTACCGATACATCACTACGAAGTCGTCGTGACTTAGAAATGAATATTACTAATAATAAAAAAAAATTAATGCACATTTTTTTTAAATAGATATTTTCTAAACAATCTCATCAAATCTGCATCTCAATCAAAGCCCATCCGAACACATGACCCGACAAGTGTTCGAAATGTTTTTGGCGCCAAAAAAGCGAGGAAGACCCAGTATAACATGGAGAGCTGCTATAAACAGAGATATGAGAGATGCAAAAATCACATCTGAGAAGACCCGGGACAGAGCGTCCTGGCGAAGAATGACTAGGAGAGCCGACCCCAAGTGATGGGATAAGTCTAGGCGAAAAGAGAGCTTCTAAGCAATCTAAAACTTAATACAAGGTGTATAAGCATACCGACGATTAGTATTCTTATAGAACTATCACGTGGCGCCAGCTCGACAGGAGTGATGGCACAGTTCGTTTGTTTTATTGATTTTCACCGAGTGAGTGAGGCCTATTCATCCCATGAGTGTCGTAAGAGCCGATTAAGGGAGCAAACTACGCAGGACAATAGCACTGCAAAGAGAAGGAAAACTTGACACAAACCCTATATCAACCTGTCTGGCCAGCGTGGTGTAGTAGGCCAAAACCTCCTTTCTAAGGAGAGGCCTATGTCCAGCATTGGACTGTTATAGGCTGTTGATGATGATGAGTGAGGCAACACGTTTATGTCTATTGGGTTGCAGATGTCTAAGAGCGGTGGTAGTCACTTAGTTCAGGTGACCCTTTTGTTCGATTGTCCCCTTATACCACAAAATAAACCAAAGAACTCTGTCTAGTAAATGATGTATAAAAATGCTTAAAAGAATAACTGTCTGACGTACGTTGATAACCCTATTTTCCTCGTTAAAAAACTCTTAATATCTGTATAGAAGAAAAGGAGAAACAACCCACTATGCAAGTGGTGGTGCTAAGTTGTTCCGAAATCGGATGGTCTTAAATTTAAAGTTTATTCAATACACAACATATCTCTCAAAGAAGTTAAAATAACATCCCGTTCAAAAAAAGTTGAACCGACTTCAAAGAAACTAACAAAGAGCACTAAAAACCTAGCAGCAATCGCGGTTGATTTGCTGTCATTTATTAAGAGTTCCGTTGTCTGTCTCTGAAGCTCATCATCAGATCTATATGAAATTCAAATATGACCATTTCGGAATAAATTCCTTTCAAACAAAAAAAAGCATTTTGTAAATCCGTCTATATATGACGGAGTTATGCCCGATAAACTCCTCCTTTTTGAAGTCGGTTAAAAATACATAATGTAAGTAGCACAAACAATATTAAAGAAATTATTACGATGTAAATTCTACCAATAAACTCTGTTTACACTCAAAACACACCATCATTAATTTAAGGCATGATTACAAAAGACTGATACACGAACACCACAAAAACTTATCAGCCTCCACCTGCTCTTATCAAACAGAAAAAAATGGTGACCTGTTATTGAGAAGGTAATATTTGTTATTCTAATCACAACAGCACGCACCTTGTGGCGCGTGTTTGATAAACTTATCAATTATTTAACAAATACACATTTAGTTATATTATCTAAACCGGTAGTAGTTTTATAACACAAAAAATATCTTTAACATTTTTTTTATGTCACTCAATTTGCTAACAGAACCACTGTGCATTTTAAATATAAATGTTTGTATATTATATGTTAAGATTTACCGCCCATGAAGTTTGAGTAATGCGTCAGAAAGTAAATATATTAAAATATTTATTGTTGACATTTACAATTACGTGTGTATTAATGATAAAGTCAACTTTTTTATAAGCATTGCCCGAGAAATATACTTTATGAGAGCATAGAGCATAGATTATTTTGTGTCCTACTTATTATTTTACTTAATCCTATCGTTTTTTTAAGATTATGTCTACAACCTACGGGTTGTTATCCCATTTAATATAACTTGACTTCGAAATTTAGGCTAGTCCGCGTGTGCCGGACGTCGTCTAAATAGAGAATGTACCCGAAGGTGGTGCCGTTGCGGGCAGGCGCTAGGAGGGGTCCGGATGTCTTAATAACAGCAGTTCCCGGATCCCTCCTATTGCAGGAGTGTCACACCGTGTGGTTTTAGTCGGTCCGATTCCGACACACCACCTTGCCGCAAACCCCGGTGACGGCCCGAGGGGTTTTCCATACGTAAAAAAAAAAGATGTAAAACGTAGGTGTTAGGCAAACATAATGTAGGGCGCCCTGCGGCACGCTGAACCGAGGACTTGAAGAAATGCGGACTGCCCAAAACCACGGTGGTTGGCGCTCCTTGAGGAAGGCTTCGTTCAGCAGTAGACGGCAATAGGTTGATAACAGATGTCTTGATCTGCTCACGATTCTTCATAAAATGCGTGACTTCGATTTGAATAAGGGTTCAAAAGGCTGTAGTAGCTCCACCGTGCATTGTTTTGTATAATACATATAACTGCCGACCGATTTCGGGCATTGAGACCGCTTCGACCCCTGCGCTGGTGTGCTCGAAGATGGCTTATGTAGTCAATCTTTGCACTAAAATTCCGTGCAATTTGCGGGCATGTGATTTCTCTATCTATACCTATATAGCCACATTAAATCGAGGCAGGAGGACGGGTTTTAGCCTAGTCGTCTTTAAGGTCGAAGTCAGCTACCCGCTGTTCCTTGAATTTACGAATGACCTAACCCTGTATATGACTGCGCTATTTAGACCATTGTGGTGCCAACCTCTGTGATTACAAAATAAGGCAATCTTAAATTTGAGAACCTGATTTAAAATTCTATCGACAAATACTCAGTTCACAATACTTCTTAGCCACAAGATTTTCAACAAATAAACAGGTTCGAAGCAATTTGCCACACGTAAATAAATAACACTTGCAATAATGCACACACACAAACACAAATACATAGTATCATATCAAATGAACTAAAAAACGTATAACTAACACCTCTGATCTCATTTATCTGTTTGAAGAAAATTACTCCAAACCACTTTGTGAGCATTTCGATTACTGTTTATTTTATAAGCAAGGTCCATACAAACAATATACGACGTTAATCTTTAAGATTTGGAGTTGAAACTCCCTTGCATTGTTCTCGCGGTGGATCTTGATAAAGAAGATTATGACGCGTAGTCGAGCAAAGGGTAACTTTTGAATATCTTAATTTTATTTTTGGGCGCCATTTACCCTGTATTTTGTGTAAGCAGCTTATGGTTTTAAACTTATATTTATGTACAAAAAATGATATTTTTTGTCCGCCATTTCGGACTGATGGACCATTGTGTGTGTCTGATTGTCACTTGTCATGTCGCCTGGTTACAATAGGGTAGAGACTACTGACTTATTACAAGTTTATTTTGAATGCGATATTAAAATCAAAAGGTGTCAATTTTAGTCCTTTAATCTCGCTGCTGTACACCCCGAAAACATCAACATCATCGCTGTCCTGTACTCCTTATAATTTTATTTGGGATGGAATGTAAGACATTGCAAAAAGTTTTCGTTGCTTTCTTTTATGTTGGGCAATCTGACTGACGCTAAAAGAAAGAAAGAAAGAAACGTTTATTTGCACAGAACACAGGTGGTACCATATTAAACACTTGTGTATTGTTCAAGATATATTATGCCTGTATTAGGCATGCAAATATTTACATTCCAACACAAACATTAACTATTAATAACAAAACATCAAGTTATTAAACAAAATGTCAAGAACATTTAAATTGCTGTATTTGCTTGGAAATGTAATAG